TACAGAAATAATATAATACAATAAGTTTTAAAATAAACAAGAAGAATATTTATTAGATGAATAAATAATCAGAATGTATATTTTATACTATGTAAAGGAATAATAATTAGAAAATTGTACTTACGAATATGTAAAAGAATAAATAATATATTAAACAAAAGAGCAAATAGAAGAAAATATAAAAATTATGATTTAATAGAGATTTAATTAAATATTTTGTTATTTAAATGATAAATAAAAAGAATATTTTTAAAATTCTAAAATAGAAGAAATTGTAGGCTATCTAACATTTTAATTAATAAAAAGCTAATAGTTTGACTAGAAAACATTTGTTCTAAAATTTATGGAAGATAATGAATTCGCATATAACGAAATACTTAAATTTATTCCAGATGAAAGATTAAAAAACATAAAACAAAATAAATAGAATAAAATATTGACAAAAAGTTAAAGCATTAGTGAATAAAGTTAATTGAATTAAAAACAAAAGAAAAAAAAAATAATAATAGATAAAAATAATAATAATAATAATAATAATAATAATAATAATAATAATAATAATAATTAAAAGAATAATAATTAAAAGAATAATAATAACTCTGATTAATTTAAAAATATAAATTCAAATATTGGCATATAAAATTATTAAAATAATTTTTTAAATTAAAATAATATTTATTCAGAATAAAATATTTAATTATTTTATAATACATATAGATGTGAATAAAATGACATATAGAAACTTAATAATTTAAATATTTTATAAAATAATTTAAATAAATAAGAAGAAACACAAATCGATAGTCAAGAATCTAAAAAAAGAAAAAAAATAAAGAAAAAAAAAAATGAATTATCAAACCAAAATAATATTAATTAAATATTTGATTATATAAATATTTAAAAAAAAATATAAGAAAATTAACCCTAAGATTAATAAACTTAAGATTATATATATAATCAAAATTAATTATAAAAAGGTAATTAAATTCGTGAAAATAATCAAATCGAGGGTATTGATACAAACAGTCTTATTTTAAATAAGAATTAAAATTTATAAACATAAAACTATGTTTCTAAATAACTTTATGAAAACAATGATATTTAAATTAATAAACTCTAAGATATTTAATAAAATAATATGTCTATTTAATAAATCCCTAAAAATTAAAATATAAAAAGTTTATCTGCTAAAGAAAAAAAATCTCTTCTTACGCAAAATCGTAATTATATAAAATAATAAAAAAATTAACCAATAAGCTAATAAATATTATCTCAATAACTATAATAAAAATAATAATTTTTATATTAATAATAATTATAATAAAAACAATAGTAATAATAATTATAATAAAATTAATAACTTAATAATTCCCAGATTTCTCAGCTTTCTCATATTTCTCAGATAAATATTTCTTAAAATTAAAATCCGAATTTTATAAGTAATAGTAATTATGATGACATTAACCTTTAAAATTTTGCATAAGAATAATAAATGATAAATTAAGATTCTGTATAAAACAGTTAATTATAAAAATATTAGCAAAAGCCAGTATAATAAAATTTGGTTGTGGATTAAAGAAAAACAGAATAAAATATTTAATAATTAAGCGCAGAATAAATAGAAAAATTAAAAATTAATTCATAAAATTAATAATTAATACCAATATAACGGTAGAAATAACTAATTAATATTATATATTTATATATATAAATATACATATAGAATAATTGATAATTTTCCTTAAAAATATATAAATGATTAATTAATAAATATAGAAGATTAAAATTATTAATATTTACAGATAGCAAATAAAAAAAATTAGATTTAATAAAAATACTATCAAAAGAAGAAGTTACATTAAGTTAATAAAGAAATTTGATTTCAGCATAAGAAATTATATAAGAAGTACTCAATACATAAGATTAGTTATAATTATAAAAGGATTTACTTTAAGAGTTGATAACTTTTGTCAGATCACCTCAGTTTTTAGTATTTATAAAATTAATAAATGATAGCTTTTAGTTAACAATAGGTAGCAAAGAACATTAAAAATATGGGCTTTGTATAATATAATTTTAAAAATAATAAAAATAATATTTATTAGTATCATATAATTAAGATTTTATGGACATAAAATCTGATAGAAAATTTAATAAGTTAAATGATTTAATAAATTATTGGATAACCTATGAAAATATAGTATTTAGATGATTAAATTGAATAAATAATTAATAAAAAAAAAATTATAAGGACTTATTTAAAAAAAAAAAAAAAAAAAAAAATTATAAGAATTTATATATTTAAATATAAATACATATTTATATTAATGAAATGCTATATTTATATATATTTTTATATAATCTTTCATTTTAATTAGAAAATAAAACATAATAAAATTGTTAATTTATATTCTTATATAAAAATAAATTATATAAAGTTATAAAATATTTAGATATATATAAAAATAAAAAAATAAAAAAAATATAAAAATATATAAATATATAAATATATAAATTTAATATTTTTATAAAATATATATTTTTTTTTTTTTTATTTATATTTTATTATAATAAAATTATATTTATATAGATTTTTCTTTTTTATTTTTATTTTTTTAAAATTCCATTGTCATATAATAATGCTATTTATTTATACAAATAAATAATACATTTTCTATAATTTTTCTTAATATATAATATATAAATATTTTTTTTAGAATTGGGATATCAATTATATATCTAGATGTTTTATTTTCTTTTAGAATTTATATTATATTAAAAGTTATATTATTTGACAGTAACTTTTTTATTATATGTTTTACTGTATTTTTTTTTATAATTGGTTTCATTATTATTTATTTTATAATAATCTTAATTTAAAAAATATTTTAAGGTTATCAATATCTTTTTTTTATTTAATATAAATAATATTAATATACATGTATTTTTAAATAAATTTATTTTAAATTATTATTAAATATTATTAATTTAAATTAAATATAAACTTTTAAATTTTTTAAAAGCAAAATAATTACTTAAATAATTTAAAATAAAAAATATATATTATTCGAAACCTAAAAAATTAAGTTAAAAAATAATCAATAATAATTTCAAATAATTTTTCTTAATAATCTAATGTAAATTATGTTATTTATATATGAAAACCAATAATTTATTTTGTATAATAATTAGAAAAAAATTTTATATTATTAGTCTAATCGAATTATATTTTTTTTGTATTTTATTTAATTAGTTTAAAAAAAATTAAATTATTTAATAAATACAGAATTTTTTTAATAAAAATAGTGTTTAAAATTATAAAAATAATTAATATCATAATTTTATTTAAAGATAAAAGTAAAATAAAATTAAAGAAAATTGATTAAAAATTAAAAAAAATTACTTTAGATAGAAAAAATAAAATAAATGTGAAAAACACTATAAATTGTTTAGAAAAAAAGTATATATTTATGTAGAAAATTATATTTTGATATATTGGATTGTTATTTAAGCTTGAGAAATTATAATCCAAATATAAATGATGTAGTGATAATCTATGAATAAAATTTAATTTATTTAAAACTTATATTCTTTTGCCATAAAAATAACAAATCTTTCCAAAAAAAATACAGAAAATATTTTGAAAACAAATATATTAAGAATTATTTAAAATAAAAGAGTTAAATAAATTTTGAAAGTGAAATATTTATTAGTTTAGAGAAAATTACAAAAACAAAGAAATAATATAAGTTTGAATTTCATTTATTAAAGGAAAAGAAAGCAATTTTGTAATATAGTACTTCAATAAAATAATTATATTAGTTATTTGATAAAGAAATATAATAAAATAAATCAAATTATTAAAATATATATAATAATTAATATAAATAATAATTATTAAGTTT